TGATATCAGCTATGCCTGATTTACGGTATGATTATAATTATCTTTTATTAGTATTATTATAATCCACTTATTGTATCATGTGCTAGGACAAGACAGTTATCTAATGAGGATACCCATATTATACTCGGCTGCGATGGGATATGGGAGGTAGTAGTAGTGTTGGTAGTAGTAATAGTAGATGTATCTACACTTTAATAGATACATTCTAATCAAGAGGCTGTTGATTATGTGTTGGCACATGAGAAGGCGGCACTTGGTCTTATTAATAGGACTCCACATTCCATAGGAGTATGGAGACGAAGGTAGTAGTTATCATAGATATACGATAAGACGTACATGGTCTCAGTAAGGGGAAGAAGAGGAAGGGGTCTCCAGTGAAGACTGGTGAAAAGGCTCCTGAGGTCCGATCATTCAAAGAACCACGAATTAATGATGTATGACGACTTCATCATCATCATTAATGATAATGAGGAGATAGTAGCAGTAATAGTCATCATCCTTGTAGGTTACTTTACATCCCGATGCACATGCATCACAAACAGCGTTCTCTCTAGCGGCATTATCAGGAGCTGCATGTCAGGCCACAGTCTGTCCAGAGTAATAATAATACTCTCTACTCTTCCATGCGAGAGGTTCCCGGTTCGATCCTCGGCGGCGATACTTTCGTATCATGGACTAATTCAGATTACGTTTTGATGATCCCAAATTTGAAGGGAATGGCTGCGACAATCTTACGTTCATGATTATCAAGATACCCGAAGAAATACGCAAGGTCGGCGCAAGGCATCTGTTTACGGTTATTCTATAATGTCTTTACGCAGGCCTTACCTCCACCGAACCCTGAAGAGACTATCTCAGCTGGACTACCAACTGTATATGGTCAGTTGCCAACAACAAGGAAACGTGGCTTCAATGGTAAGGAGGTGGAAGAAGAGAAAAACAACACCAACAACAATACTATGGAGCCCAATGCTAAACGAGTAAAGACGACGACGACGATGGTGATAGATGGTGATACTGAGGATGATACATCACCGCCATCATCATCATCATCAACTGCTACTGCTACTGTTGATATTATGGTTAACAATAACGATGTTAATGGGATATGATAATAATAATAACAAGAGCAGTGTAGCAAGTTTACGCAAGTATGTTGTTGTTATTGAGTTGTTGTTGTTTATGCCGTTGTTCCTGCTGCTGTTCATGGTGGTAGATAGTTATATTCGTAGCTTTCTTCATATTCCTAATAAGGTACTTGTTGTTGTTAGCACTCTTATAATCCCAGATCTCCTCGTACCTCCTTAATGTGTCGTCGTCGACGTAATCCTATTATTACAAGAGTCCTTCTGAAGAATCTATCATTTCACTTCGAAGACTACGACCTGGAGAATGATGATCGTGATGGCACTTACTCGATTCATGTCGACCCTAGGAGATTACGAACAAGGAGTAGGAGTGAGAATGATATTCAATGTCAAAACGAAGATGTGAGGACGCCTCTACTGGCTGAATTCCATCCTGATACCGGTGAGCTCATACACGCCACGGATTTGTATAATAATAATGAGGAGCTAAGGATGTCCCATGAGCCCTTTTTTGAAGGGTATGATGATGATCATCATCATCATCAACTGTTATCATCAGTCCGACGACAACAGTCCTCTTGTCTCTCTGGAGTTACAACATTGATGGTTCGCAATATCCCTAGTCGTTATCTACCTCATGATTTCCGACGATTAGTCTCTTCAATGGGCTTTGCTAATGACATGGACTTTTTCTATATGCCCATGGATATTGTCAAATCGAGGAATCTTAGATATGCATTTATTAACTTTGTATCAGAAACTGTAGCTGCCCGTTTTATTGATCTATTCAGTGGTTATAGATTCGATGACGATAATAATAGTTATTATCGAGGTTCTGCTGGTAGTAGTAAAGTATGTGAAATAAGTCCAGCGAGGGTTCAAGGTTTCTACCCAAATGTTGATCATTTCCAGAATTCTACCACACGATTCAACATCCCCAATAATTTCAAGCCTATCGTCATTGAGAACGGTGAGGAGATCCCCATTCAGGGGTATCTTAAGAAAGGGAGATCTAATTCTCATATCAACACTACTACCACTAATGGACTACGTCATAATCGTCATCATCATCAAGGACGACTCGATAGGTCTAAATCAAGTGTCTATTATTGATCAATATTTTTATATCTATCATATATCTATCATAACGTCTTTAACGTCAGCCTTGCCATCAATATTCCCCATTTTTCGATATCACTCAGTCCCTCCCCTCAGGCTGCCCGCATAAGCCCTGCAAATGACCGAGGTTGGACCGGAATCGATTGACTTGTGTTTAGTATTAGAAGCTCAACTCTGGGAATATGAGCATAACAAGTGATTCATCACATTCATTATGGTAATACATCAAAAGGGTATCTATCATGATATAACCTCAATGGTATCATCTATCATGATATAACCTCAATGTGATATGAATACTGAAGATTGAAGTGGTACGTATACGTCCTTCGGGACATACTCTTTTCCAAGGCGCGCGCGTGCGTAAGAGGCGACCCAGTACGCCACGTCACCTCACGTCTCGTCTCGCCCTGCGCGATCGCTCTTCCTTAAGCCGGAGTCTTAGCTTTACTGCGCTATCGATCGGTCTGTCCGAAGTTCATAGCGTCGAGCTACTTTTTATCTGTTGCAGTTGTTACTCCGCACACTTGTCTACACCCGAGTTCACAGTCCGTCAATCTATATCATGGCGACACCTGGGAGATCTACTACTAATCCCCTGTTACCTTCTGAGACGGACTTCCATGATTCGTCAGTATATGACTCGGTTATTCAAGCGACGAATAGTGATGATCTCGGTCAGCTTAAACAGCAGTTAACCACATTTCGGCGAA